AATTTTTGAGATAAAATACTTCAAAAGATTTTAAAATTTTCATTGAAGTGTTTACTTTTTGATGCCGGATGGGCTTTTTAAAAATTTAAAATGGTGGATCTAGAATCGCGACTAGAATGGACTGTCAACAAATTTTTGGAGCAAACTTTAATTACTGAAGCACAGGGGGCTAGAAAATTTTTTTTATTTCCATGAATTAAGGTTTTGGGGGCTAAATACAAATCCATAGTATGTAACAAAAATCATCACACCAACATCCACGTTGGCTCCTATAGGCCTCTCTACTTTAATATGATTGATTTATTCTCGGGAACCCTTTTTCTCTAAATTATTATTATATCTGTTTGAAAAGGATAATTTGTAGCACTTTTTGGCCAGTAATAGAATTAATTTTTCTATCAAGAGAAAGGAAGAGAGAAGAGAAAGAGAAAGAAAGAGAGAAAAATACAAGAAACTGACATGGATTTTTTATATATAATATAACCAAAAGTATAAGATAACTGTTTTTAACAAGAAAATATCAGACGTATAATAGATAAATTTACTATCGATTGTTTACGTCTAATTATCAAATTTTCGAAGTAGTTCTGTTACATGATCATACAATAGAATTTTTACATCGGTAGCTGTTATAAAATCAAAATGGTTGAATAATTTATATGGAATTTCCTTCAGTAGAATAACATTCGGCAAGTGTTTATATGTCTCGAGGACACTCTGGAAATAAGAATAGAAGACAATAAAATTAGTAATAACAAGAGAAATGTAAGAAATTATTCTTTAAAGACTGTTTTCATATATACTACCCCCGAAAAATTTCTGAACAGAAATTAAATTTTTGAGGTTTTAAGCTGCTGAACTCAATGCAGCACTGTGCTAAATCAAAGAATAGATGATTTTGGCATTATAAGAGATACTTTAAGATATTCTGTAACGATTTTAAGTTTAATGTATCCCTACTACTCTAAATTCTTAAATCTGAGAGGCATATTTGTCATACTGGAAATTGCAATGTTTGACGGAATGCACGGCCTTGGGAAAATTTTTCTCGGGAATGCGGTTTGTAGCGCCATAAAAGTTTGAACCTTTCTCTTTAATTTGAAAAAATGCAAGTTGCTACGATTTTTTTCGCAAAGTCACCCTTATATTTTTCTCATGTATGTCGGCAATCCAATGTGCACTGTAGGGAGATTGGAGATCGAATTTTGCACATTGTGTGCGTGCGGGTATGTATAAAATATACACACATACACACACAGTGTGTAAAATCCGATCGCCAACCTCCCTGTGATGCATATCGGGTAATGCCGATCATATATACATGAGAAAAATACAAGGGTTACTTTAAAATGCTGTAACTTTTTTGAAAAAATCGTAGCAGCTTGTTTTTTTTTTTAATTAAAGAGAAAGAATTTAAATTTTATGACGCTTTAAACCGCATCTCGGAGAAAAATTTTCCTAAGGCCATTATTATATTTGATTAATTATACGTAATTATACGTCAAACATTGCAATTTTCATTATGAACAAATATATATGCCTCTCAGATTTAATAGTTTAGAGTAGTAAAAATGCATTAAACTTAAAATCGTTACAGAGTATCTTAAAGTATTTCTTAAAATGCCAAAATTACCTTCTCTTTGATTTAGCACAGTGTCGCACTAAGTTCAACGGCTTAAAACTTCAAACATCAAAATTTTATTTCTGTCCGGAAATTTTTCGGGGGTAGTGTATTTCAATTCTAATATGATCAGATAAATTGATAAAGGAGATAGAAGAGAAAAAAGAAAACAATAGAGAGAAAAAGATATTGAAGGAGGGAAGAAGTGAGGGAAGACATTTCGCATAACATTACGAAAAGAAAATCATACAGTTCTATTTAAGAGCTCAAGATAATCTTAAACTATTTAAATTTTAAAGAAAAATATCTTCAATTTTTTGCCTAAATCAGTTGTATCTTGTAACAACAAATAAAATTTTTGCCATAAACATACTATATGAATACATATAATTTATTCAATTTTACTTTTTTCTTTTTAATATATATTTTTTATTCAAGAGATGTTTTTATATTTGAATCAAAAGTAATCTTACCAATTTTGGAGCAAGAAAATCATTGGCGCCGTAAAATAAAGCCAAGGGAGCGGTAACTTTTTTAAGATCATACGTAATAGGTGTCATCTGTCCATATTGTTTGTAATTGCCCAAATATCCATAGTCGTAAGCTTGAAATTTCTCTATAACATTAATAAATAACATTTATATACGTTTTAAAACACATTTTTATGATTAATAATTTGTTATCAAAAAGGAATACTTACTTGTCGCAATATTTTGCGAATAATGCTGTAGCGTTTGCACGGAACATCCGGCAGGGAAATATGAAAATGATTCCAGTAATGTTGTCTGCAATAAATGATTTTATTAAAAACAATTTTGATTTGTTATATATTAAAATATAGAATATAAATTTACAAAATAAATAATATTATGTAATTTTTAGTTTTTAAAACATATAGAAATAGTAGAAGTATTACAATTAGCAAAATCATGCTAAACTAAATACATATATTAGATGTATATACTATACAGTATCAAGTTGTGCTGGATCGGAACCGCTGAGCATAAAAATTGCCGTAACACAGACAGCCTGAGTAATTGTCATATCGGCACAGAGTGTTCTTCCAAGTGAAAAAGTTGTTGATGATAAGGAGAATAGTTCATATATTTCATTAAATTCTAAAAATTCCTAATAAAAAAGCGTAAATGAAAATATAAATAGTCTACACAAAGAATTAAAATGGAACTGTATTATATTATATTACAAGATGTAACATAATATAATAAAAGATATAACATCAAAATAATTATATGTACGCATATCAGTTTCTAAAATGTATCAATAATAAAGTAGAAACATAATGAAGGTCAATACGCAATTATTACAATGCAAAAGCTATAATGATGCAGGTACATAAGAAATAATTTATTGGTAATGTCAATGTAATTGAACATTTCAGTCTAAATTAAAAAATTTTTTAATATTAAAT